CTATGATAATTTTCTTCGAGTGTGGTAGATTCACTTTCTGTGTATAATGTATGTGCCATTGTTCCTGTGAATTCATAGGTCACCCTTTCTGAGTTTTAATAACTGTAAATGGCTGCAATCCTTGCAGAGCCTCTCAGCATGGCCTCTGCTGAGTCTTCAGATGTGCAATATCTGGACAGATTCAAGATCACCTGGAAGATGCATTAAGAAACTGAGGGAATTGCAAGGCGACACTGGAACTTGACAACTAAGTTCGTAAAAGTGAATATGTACATTTTGGAAGCCCACTAAAACAGTTTGTCTAGAGAACTGTTAGATAGTATTACTTCCTTTTTACTGATGAGGGTTCCGGGCCTCAGATACTTAAGTGCTTGCCCAAGGTCACCTGCTGGGTCTGTCTCCTCCAAACCTGAGCCAGGCTGGGGCCCAAATCCTTCCTCTTTTCACAGCCTTTGTATCTGTGGTAGCCAGAATATCCTTGGCTACCTATGAGGGAGCAGTTCTGTTTATTAACTAATTGAGCTGCATGGTGCCAAGCAGTTCAGACAGCCCGTTTAGCTGATTTTCTTTCTCAGTGAATTGACTAATTTGTTTTACAGAATTGACCACATCAGCTAGTTATTTTAATGCTAAATCAAACTATGCTCATTCATTTTTTTCTTTTACTAAGTCTCCAACTGCCAGGTACTTGGCTAAGAGCTTAGGGTCAGACATACCTACATGATCATCCAAGCTTAGCCACTCATTGGTTGTGACATCTGGGGCAAGTGCTTGACCGCCTTAGGCTTCCATCACTTTATCAGTGGACATGCAGATTAGAGTACTACCTACATAGTTTAGTTAATGAGAGGGTTAAATGGAGACAACCCTTTAGCTCCTAACTCAATGGCTGACCCTAGGAGTTTCGTTGAGAAGTAGCTTGCTGTTATTTTGTTGATCATTGTCATTATTAACCTTAATGTTTTATTTCACTGTCATTTTTGTTCTAAGACTTTTACTTGCCTCCTTGACCTATATCCTTTAGCTTCCTTCCAAGGGAGGCAGAGGTACTTACTTGTTCCTTATTGGGACAAGTAATTATGGAGTTTAAATTGTGTTATACAAATAGGCTCAGGTCTCTAATCCCCTACCCTTTCTTCTAATTATAGGCACTTTGAAGGAAGTTCATTAATCTTTTTTTCACCAGCCCCTTCATATAAGCTAGTACATAGATGCTCTTTGATGTCTGTTAAATTGAATTCACTAGGTCATGTTTCTGTTCATAGTGAATGGATAGATCAGTTTTCTTTTGTGCATCACTGTTAATATCATGGATGGTGTTCCATTGATTTTTAATGTGCTCTTTACATGTATCCTTTGTATAGGTCATTTAATGCTGATACGCTATCAGTCTCTTTTCATTTGAATATGCCTTGCTACTTCTACTCTCGACAGAGATCTCTTGCTTCCTGTAAAGATTTTCACTGCCTATATAATGGGTATCATTTTTTATTTTATTTTACAGAATTTTTTTTTCTGTCATTCCTGCCATAGGATTTTATAAAAAGACTTTCTTACTTTCACTTAAACTTTTATTTCCCACATCACTTTAAGGTATACATTTTACTCTTTCCCCCATCATTAATACATTACCATCTGACTCTGTCATTAGGCTGTCAATCTGTAAAATTCTTGAAGAAGAAAGAGAGGACTTATTTTAAATAGGCCTGATACTTTGCTAAAGAGGTTGGTGCACTGTCGACAATTTTATTCTTGTCAAGAAAATGCTTTTGAAGTTTCAGGGAGAAGAAATGAAATTTAGAAAAGCTACTGAACCAGGAAAGATATGGGGGGGGGGATAAGATAGATTTAAAAAGGACAAAATCCACTTCAAAGTTCTAGGGAAGATCCTTTCCATATTTCAGAATAACTAAGTATGTAATGGAGAATATCCTGCATGGCCAGACTGAGGCTCTAGGCATGAAATTCTCCCTAAGGGAAATGGTAGTTGAAGGTCCCTATTCCATTGTTGGTGGTTAGAAAATGAAACACTATTCAATCTGAATTTCTAAGTTAAGGCACTAGAGATTGAAATGTTGAGCCTGGATGAGAAAAAGGAAAGGGAACGGAACATTTACTATCCATTCTCAAAGAAATGTGGCAAGTGGCAGTTCCTCCATCTCTAGTGACGTTGAGATGAGACAATATGCCTGACGTGCAGCAGGAGAGATTTATGCTAAAATTCAGACAGACCGCCTGGGCTCTGAGATCCTTGAATATGTTACTAAGCAGAGCAGGACTCGCCCCACAAACAGAACTGGAGAGTTTTCCAGCATTCCGAATCATTAGGCAGGGTTTCCAGGGACAGCACTGCCACAGCCTCAATTGTTCTCTGAGATAATCTGACCTGATTCACGAAGAAAGCCTATGGAATTCTGTGGACTTCAAACTTTACATAAAAAACTGGGTGGCAACCAAGCAGCGTATAAGGCAGTCCTTTCTAAAGACTGGGACTCAGACTACCTATCCCATTTACCTCAAAACTGTACAAATGCTACAACAAATGAGAGACTGCAGTTAACTTTCTTGGCCAGACATCAGCAGAGGTTATATTTCTGCTTAAAACAGAATGATTTTCAATGCAAAGGAATTGATAAGGTTAGATAACACAGTTTCCTATCTGGAATCACATATACAGACAGCAGTGGGGGTAGGGCTGGAGGAAGTATGCTCCTGACGCTGCTTGCACGAAAAACTTCAATCAGCTGCTAGCTTTTGCTTCACAAAACTTTGACATATGTCCCTTGACCTTTACCAACTACCCTTTCACGTTTGACACTTCACGTTTGCTACAATGCTATGATTACAATGCAGCGTTAATTAATTTCAACACTATCGGTTGAGTTATATTTAGCTAAGAACACTCACTTTTGTCTTTTGTGAGTAGCACTGCAGTGTTATTACAAAGAGGTAGTCAGGAGGGCAAGAGAGATACGAAAAGAATGATTCAGTGTGCAGATAATTGTTTCGAGTGAAATTTAGCTCGGTATTTTTGTTCCTGTCCTCAGAGAACTGAGATTTAGCACCGCAGTGGCATTTAGCCCCCACCCCCACACAGGCGGGGGCTGTGCTGGGCGGGCGCTGCGAAGGAGCCTCGCCAGAATTAAATTATAGCAGTTCCAACACCGGCAAAAATTTTCTCTGGCCAGCTTTGGGTGCCAAGCTGGTGATTCCAAAAGAGAGGCAAGGGATCCCTAGAAAGGATCTCCATATGGTGTGACATCACCCTCAATGACGGGGGTTGACATGGTTTAAAGAGCATGCCACCCAAAAAGTGATAACCGTTTCCAAAGAAAACAGTGAGAATATTTAGCCACAGCAGAGTTATAGTTCTAACCTTAAAAACGTCACCTATGAGATTGTCTTTTTGATGATTTGTTCCATAATGGGACCAAAAAGCTCCCTGGAAATGGATAAAACCTGATATTTGACCTCTTCTTTCCCTGAGTTTTCCAAGTGAGAAAACATTTTTACTAGTTTATTTATTCTATACTCTTTTGCTCTGTGAAAAGATTATATAAGAATATGAATATGCAAATTTTGCTTTCACCTGAGGCTTAAAACACTGTACAACCGTTACAGCTTGCTGTTCTTTGAGATGTCAGCATGAAACTCTGCCCCCCAAGTTTCCTGTGCCACTGGAATACTTTTGTCCTTTAGATCCACATACAGAACAGGAAGAGAGAAGCTCTCCATTGGTAGATGGATAGTGCCGGTGAAACACAATTCATGGGTCAGCCATCCACATGTCTCACTGAATAGACAGTAATAGTAATAGTACATTGAATTTTGGGGATTCTTTGAGGTAGTATCCTCAGGTAGCCTCCAGTTGCTAAAAAACAAAGAAATAAAAGAAAACATCTTTGTAGCGTTTCCATTTGTGGGATTATAGAACATTTTGCCTCCAATAATTAATCTTTTATGTCTAGTATCTAACTCCATGCCCTCATCTCATCCTATGCCAACAGCTGGAGGGTACTTGATCCCTGGCAGACTTTTGTTTTCCTGACCATCCCATAGGAAAAGCTATAGCCCCTATATGCCAAGGAGTTGAGGAGCTCTGATTCAGTAGTCAAGCAATTCAGGAGCGAGTAACATTTCTGCTGGCTGAGCACTGATAGGTTGTGGCTGCCCTAGAAACTGGCCTTGAGTCTTCACCCCGAGACCAAGTCTACCTCGTATTATTGATGGAACACCAAAAACCTCTCTTGGTCCCAGTGCATGAGAATCTAATTAGTCCTCTAAGATGCGGTTTCTGGCATTTTTTCTTAGCTGTCTCCTCCTGCCCCTGCCCGTCCTCCACTGACTGCAGGATCATGGCATCCTAGTTGTGAAACCTACCACTGAAAACATCTCTGGTTTCAATCTCCTGCTCAGGCCTCTGACCTGCCCCCACTCTGAGGTCCTGTCAGTGGGCCCTGCTCGTTGCTTGTCACAGCAGCCCTGAATCCGCCCACTTCCAGAAGTCACTGGGCTTTCTGATGCTCTGATTCACCTTTCAAACTGGACTGACTCCCCATACCTTCCACCGAATATATTGCCAGGAGCACACGTGCCACCCCAGGTCTGGTTCCTTCCGTCCTGTCCTTCTGCGGTTGACCTTGGCCAAATCTTGTTATGAAGTAATGCAGGAAGAGGCTGAGCTTTAATGGTTAGAGGATCACACATAGATCCTCTATATTTAGGAGCAAATAACATTTTTAAGAGTGGGACGACTTATAAAAGTATAGTTTGTTAGTCATTGAGTCTTTTAATTTTTTTTGTTTGGCTTCACTTGGTGTAATATAAAATGGAAACATTATTTTTATCTCAAATATTTACTTTCAAATGAAATTTTCAAGCATCTCTGTGTTTTCCAATATCTTTATTCTATGGGCTTACCAGCTGGCTTCCCATATACCTTGAGATTGAAGATAATTTCATTTTGTAATTTGTGTTTCTCTCTGTTTTTACATTTTAAGGTGTTGCACAATGGCCTCATTATGGAAATGAAACATCCGACTGTGGGGAAGATATCAGTCCCAGGTTTGAAGTTTTTCATTTTTCTTAATACCTACCTTAATTAATTGTTCCCTATGCTGATCACTACAGGTAGCTAATGATCCCCCCAACAACTTGTCAAGACATTATCCAAACTTTTCATTTTGGATAAAAGACTCACACCCACAAGAATGCATGCTGAGGCTATAAAACTGTTAATGAACTCCTGATTGGCTTAGCGACAACAAAATGTTTGTATTACCTAACTCCATTTTGTGTAATCATATACTCACAAGAGTACGTTATGTAATTGCCAACAGAATGATAATGATAGATATGGCAAATATTATGAAGTTACACATGGTTCGTATGTGAATGAGAAAGGAAGCCTGATAGAGGTGGTATCTGACTGGTCAGGCCGGGGTGTTTTCTTTCCAAACTACTGTTTAGGGCATTGCAGATTAGCTTTGCAGATCAAGAAAGTCAATGTTTTCAGTAAACTCAGAATACACTGAAATTTTGTAACTTGACTCATACCAAACTCACCAAAGACGTTTTGGTCTGAGCCAAAATGCCAACTTTTTTGTATCTTGATAGAGTTCTCTTTTCTGTAGCCAGAAGCCTCATGCCTACACTCAGAGCATTCAAACTGTTGTGAGAGCGTATGACCAACCTGTTACCATCCACAGACTTCTAGTGATCATAATGTGATCATTCCTCAGATCTGTTGTCTCTGCTCTGGGCATTGCTGAACAAATCCTCCACGTTCTTCTTCACTGTGTCCCTATTTCCTAGACTATACACAAACCGTACACTTATTGTTTTCTTTTCTTCTGACAGAGCATAATGAAATTAGCTAGGATGTAACTTTGGTCATTGTTGTCCTGAAACTATATTCTTATCGCCTTGCTTGAAATTTGGGTATTCCCCAAAGTCCTCAATCACTGTAGTTAAATGGCATAGAGCATTTATTTCTACAAGCTTCTGGTCTCATTTAGTGAGTAATTGCATCGTTAATTTCATTCTAGGTGTAATCTAATCTTAAGATTTGAGATCAGCCTGATAATAATGTCCCAGAACAGATCAGATAATTGCTATTGGCATGTTAAAAAAAAAGAAATAAAAAAATAAGAAGAGGGAGCTATGAAGAATAAATCAAGTTGAAATAGAAAATTCTAGTGTATAGGAGTATAAGGGACATTATACATGAATTAAGGAAGGTAACTAAGAGAGAGAGCAGGTGTGGCATATCAGAGATTGGGATCGCTTGTTAATATGGAAATACTACATCATGCAGAAGGTGGTGAAGAAAACATGTTAATAAAAGGTAAGGAAGTTGTTTATTTATTCACATTATTGAGCATATAGTATGTGTCAGGCAATGCTTTGGGTCCTGGGAATGCAAAAATAAACCAGACTACTTGGCTCCTCGTCACATGGATCATATACTCAATGGAAAGTCTGATAATCAAAGCAACCAACAAATGTCCCCTAACTGTAAGTCATGATATGTGCAAAGCAGGGGGAATCAACACTGTGCTGTTATAGAGAATAATGGCGACAGAAGTGACCTCTGTTAATTTAGTTGATCAGAGAAAGACTCTCTGATAGGATGTCTTATAAACTGAGAATTGAAGGGTAAAAAGAAGTCAACATTTGGAGAGTCAGGGAAGAGCATTCCAAGCAGAAGGACCAGCATGTGAGAAGACCCCACGGTGGGGAAGAGCGGGGTGCATTTTAAACCAATATGAAAGCCGAGGAAAGGACAGGAAGTGAGACTGAAGAGAGAGGCAGAGCCTGGAGGCCCCACTAAATTTGGTTTTACTCTAGTTTTAAGCAGGAGAGTGAAATGACATAATTTATAACTTGAAGCAGGGAGTCAGGTTAGGAAGTTATTATAGGAATTCAGGTGATGATATCTTAAATTAGGATCATGGTAATAGCAATAAAAACAATGGCATGGTCAAAAAATGTAACCACAGTACTTTTGGTATGAAAAGACTTCAAGAAGCATTTTGTCCAGTAGTTTTTCACTTTATTTTTTAAACAGTGGAACTGATTTTCCAAATGAAGTTTCAATCTAAAACAGATCAAAACAGTTTTACTGATTGATGGGTTCGCACTCCAACTGTTTAGCTTTCTCCCCCTGCTTCCGTCATGCTAGAGTCCTCCAAACACCTCCTTAGAACCACAGGCCCTGAAGGACAACTCCAGAACCTAATTTAATTCCACAAGTTTACAGATGAGATAATACAGTCATTGATATGCACAACACATGAGAGGAAAGGGTAAACATTGGAAAGTTAATACAATTGTTAACATGATAGTAAGGGAAAAAGTCAGTGGCCAACCTAGGATGAACTCATTGGATGCAATACTCTCTCAATCAATCAGATGTGAATTTGCTAATTTTCCTGGTAAATGAATGAACAATCAATCTCAGGAAGAGGGAAATATTTTTTCAGATTCCTAAAGAGGAAAGCATAACCCCTTTTGTTCACTTTAATTTATGTGTATCTGTTAGCTATTGTCACAATAATGCTGTGTAACAAATAATCACAAGCACCTCAGTGGCACTAGAACAGAAGCATCTATTTGTTCCTTGGATGTGGATCTGTGTGGGGGATGGCTGATCTGGGCTGGGTTTGCCTGGGTCTGGCACCTGGTGAGGCTGGCCCCTCACTGAGTCAGGCTCAGTTCTGCTCTGTGTGTCTCTCATGGGCTTCTCATGGCAGTGGCAAAGAGCAAGAAGCCAAACAGAAACCACGATGCCACTTAAGACCTACTGCAGAACTAGCAGATCCTTCTGCTCACATTGTATTGGCCAAAGCAAGTTCTAAGCTGTATCCCAAGAGGTGGGGAAATAGATTTCTTTTTTTATGTGAAACTGCAAAATTACAAGGCAAAGGTATAGAGAGGGGTAAATAACGGGCCAAAAATCAACTTACCACAATAAAATTCTTAGATCTATAGCAATGTCTTCTTATCCTTCATTTTTATCTTTATTTCTCTTTGGAAAATATTCTATTTTCATTTCTTCAATTTCTATAGGGCTTAAGCATATTTTTGGTGTGTCTACCTTATTGACTTACCTTATATTCTTTCTATAGAACTATCAACATAGGCAGTCTCAGACTTGAGATGAAATGGATGTGTTTAAGTTGTTTTTGGAATTAGTATCTGATTTATCTCGAGGGCGCACATCTGGACTGTCCATGAAATGGGAGAGACAACTCTGCTTATAGACATCAGATAAGATGGTACTATTGTTTCTTCTAATTCAGTGTATCCCAGCAAGAGGCCAGTCAGACAGGATAGAAGTTATTAAATTCAAAGGAAATTTATCAGTAAATAACAGTTTTCCCATGCATTGCCCCTTTCATTGATTTTATTTACCTTTGATAGTTCAAGGGATGTCCCCATTGGACACTTCATGAATGCAGGAGAAATAACTCAAGATTCTCCCACAGTGCCTCAGAGAGGTGACTGTGCCAAAACACCTGAACAGTGGGTAGGCTTAAAAGTGATTTTATGCTACACTGTTTGCTAGTTAGCCAGTGGAGACACACTTTTAAATTAATTAAATGTAGGTCTACAGATTTACATGTATATCTGAACCTTTACATTTACAGTAAAAATCCTGTTAACATTACTTACAACTACTGACTTATATTTCTTTTGTTATTAGTGAACTTCTTGTGACCTGTACTGAAATTTCTGTATGTTGTACTAATTTGCCTGAAGCATTTTGTCTTCATAGTTACTAGAAATGTGTCTTTTGAAGAACAGTGATACTTCTTATGTAAGGTTGATTGCACCTTTTTTAGAGATGTGGAAATCCACAGCATTCCCTCTGATTCTCAAATTAGAGTTCCTGTGTACTCCTAATGGATTGATACTTAAAGGTGCTGGTCAACCAATGCTCATTATGCTTTGAACAGGGATGAGAAATATTTACCTCTCCAGAACTCTTACTGGATAGTTAAATAATTATTGTAAGCATTTAATGCATTGTTACTATATTTGTAATCATTACCAATATTATAGTAAAATACAGCAAGTAGTATTATCTAAATTATCTTCTTTATTAATTAATACCTATTCCATATGATATGAAAAATACTCCCTTTTCATACCATTTCCCACCACCTTGAATTACAGTAAATAATTGAGAAAAAAATTTCATTTGCATATGTATATGTCATTGTTAAAGAATGCAAACTAGATAGTGCTCATGAATTATCTCTAAATATGATTTGTAGTTACACTAATGCTTTTGTTTTTTATTTCACATATTTTTCATGAGACTACTTTCTCATTCGAGCTTTAGAGCTTATTTTACAGTTAAAGGTGGAGAGAAACTAATAAAAATTTATTATTAATGGGAGTATAAATGAGAAAATGTATCATCTTTTTCTTTGCCAGGCTTAAATATTCTGTTATTCTAAGAATCCCCAATGAGGGGAATAGTAATTAATTTTAGCTCACTGTTAGCTTAGTGACAGAAGTGTCAGCACACTGGGCACAATGTATTAATATGCTCATATTTAACTAATACAGACTAATTGAGTGCCAAAATTTCAAACACACACTTACTCACTCACAGCCACACCCACACACAACTAACCTCACTAAACCTATTGTCTTCCATATGCTACATGAAGCTCCGGTGACAGAGCCAAACCTGAACAGGCCAGGCATTCACAGAGCTTACGTTGCCAGGAAGGCAGTGTACCAATAAATACGCAAGGTTGTTGAGTGTTTCCATGGAAAACCAGAGTCTACCACGGGATGCTCTAGAAGCACAAACCAGGGAGACCTCACCTGGTGTGTGGGACCAGGAAAGGTTTTTCTGAGAAGTGAAATGGAAACAGATGCATGAACAATGACCAGTTGTCAGCTGGGCCAAACTGGTGTGGGCTGAGGGAGCCCTGGCGAGGCCCTGAGTACTGGCAGAGCTGAGAAAGGGCTCAGATGGGGAAAGCAGGAGGGGCAGGCTCACAGTTACCCTGGAGAGGTGGCCAGAGGCCAGAAGAATGAGACCT